AGAATCAGAGTCCGAGACGCAGTTGGATCATCTCTCTGCTGCCCTCTAGTTGTTGTTGGTGTTGTTGTTGCTGTTGTTGTTGGTGTTTTTGGTGTTGCTGTGGTTGTTGGTATTATTGCTTTTGTTGCTTGTTTCTACAGTCTTCTGTTATTATGCCATGGGGCTATAAAAACTCGTTTTCAGCTGTTTCCAACAACGAAGTTCATGATCAGCTGTGAACTGAAAGTGGTTGATTGGAGCACAGGCAGCAACAACTGCAACTGCAACAACTATCAGCCAGAAGAAAAGAAAGAAGAAGAAGAAGCACCAGCAGCAGCTGCAGCAGCAACAGCAGCAGCAGCAGAAGAAGCAGCAGAAGAAGAATCCCAGCCTGCTTAGTTTAGTACCGGTTTTTGCTGTTACTCCGCCGACAATTGCACTCGTAATTGAGCCGCATCACATCGCATCGGAGCGCATCACATCATTGTCTCAATCTCAGTCCCTGTCTTTAACTTGATCGTCGTCTTACGTGCCACTGATGTAACAGCAACTTGCAACTTGCAACTTGCCGCAGTTTTGTCTGCCTGCCTCAGCACATCTGATGCTGCTTTGAAGTCTTGCCTCGAAATCCAAAATGCGAAATGCGCTTTTGTTGTTATCTTAAGCCCGTTAAGTTGACAGGCTGCGAAGTGCCTGATTCGCATATTTTGCTCGTTGAATGCTCGCTTCATGCTGCCCTATAATATTTCAACACCCAATCGAGCACTCACTTCCTGCTTACAGATACCTAAATCATATAGCTGCCAGTGCCGCGCTTTGAAGAAGCTAGATCAAAAAACAAAAAAAAAAAACCTAATAAATAATAATAATAATAATATAAATAAGAAAACACCAAAGATGCCAAAGAACAGCAACAGCTGAAATTGGCGTGCTTCTTGCTGTAGCGGTGGTGGACGGGGGGGCTAGCAGGGATTTTTGCCTGCTATTGCATTCCGACCATGCAGCAAGCCATGACAGCCTAGACCTGATCTATTTTGGTCACGGTGCCCCCATCGCCGCCTTCTCCTCCTTCTCCTCCTCCTCCTTCTTCTCGTCATTCAGCAGCTACTCCAGCAACATGCAAAATATACATAAATATACAATATATATGTATGTATGCATTTATGTATATGTATGTGTGTAGATATATAGCTGCCCCGCAAAAACAAACAATTTGTAGGTGTGGCTGTGGCTTGGCTTTGGCCGTTGCTGGTGCTGTTGCTGTTGCTGTTGCTGCTGCTGCTGCTGGTGGTGTGATGGTGCTGGTGGTGGTGGTGGTGGTGGTACTCCTGGCGGTGGTGGTGCCATTCTCTTGATGGCCGTTCTGGTAGATGAAGCGGAAATGTGACGTTGACTGCAATAAATTCACTCGCTTTGTTTGTGCTAAAGTTCAAAGATTTGTAAGCAAATTCCAGATGGTTTCCGTTGCAAATTTGAAAAAGAATGCAATTTTTGCATAGTGATAAAAATAAATCCAATTGAAGATATGCGCAAAACAAGCAAGTAAATACAAAATAAAGGACAGACGATTTTAAGTAGAAATTCTTGTGGAAACTGTTCGCAAGTTGTTACAAATTTACCTCTTTTCTAGCTTCAGCAAGACTGTACAACTTTTGGATTTTTATATTAGCTAACTGGTAACTGTTTCTCACAATCATATTAGTCATTCTCACTCTCGAGGGAATGTCGCGTCCAGGGCCGTGAATATCAAATTGATTCGCTAAAATTAACGGCCTTCTGTCGAAACGTTTTCTCATGCCGCTGTTTGGCGGCTTACGTTGCGTATGTGTAATTAAAATTTTTGCGCTAGCGGCGCTTTTGGCCAGGTGTGGCCCTTTTGCCAACATATTAATTATTAAAACTCCAACAAAAAAAAAAGCCAAAACAGTCAATAGACGAAATATAAAAATAGAAAAATAATATCGAAATACAAATTGGGCGTCGGCGCACTTTTTACCCCACAAGTTGAATTAACAATTTGCCGGCCAGCGTCCAACAAGTCTCAGTGTGTCTCTCTCTGTATTTTTTTTTTTCATTTCATTTCTATAATTTATTAAGAAAACACGCCAAAATGCATGTGAGTGTAGAAGTTGCGTTGAGTGTGTGTTTTTCTCTGTTTCTGTTTCGGTTTCTGGCTCTGTTTGTGCAACGCCTTTGTGCGCCTTTGCATGCGTAATTTCTGCTACGCCAACGGTGGTGGTCCCAGTCCCAATGGCCCCGTCATCGTCATCGTCATACACCCTGTGTCTGTCTCCGTCCCTGTCCCGGTACCGGTACCGATCCGGGTGCGACGGCACCCGCATTGAATAATTGCCATAGGCTGGGCGCCACACGACGTCGCCACAACAACGGCAACGACACCGGCATCGGGACCGGGAACCGGCACCGGAATTTAGATTCGGGTGTATTCATTTGTGTGTGTATGTGTGTGCGAGTAGTATTTTCGGTATATGCATAAAGATATATGCATATATCTATATCTGCATATATGCTAATGCCTCAGCTTGTCGGCTTGATTACTCACAGAGCAGGCCGCCAGATTTGTTGCATGCATAAATACCCTACAATTAATTAGAATTGAGTGTCTTCAATTAAAGCAGCAAAAACTTTCGATTTTTGTCTGACTCTGCAGATATCGAATTACATATTCAATGTTTTACTAATATACAAAATATTATTGTTACTGAGTCAAGTTTTCTACTTGCCTGACATTTTCGATACCAACTGATTTTAAATTTCCAGTTTATATGCTAATTTTCGTTGATTACCACTCCTATAATAAAGTCTAAAAGCGATTGTGTAATGCAGGGTATCTTGCAGTCACACTTATTTTCAACTCTTATTTTTTAGTTCTTAATTTGTTTTTATTGTACAACTCGACCGTAATTTAGTTTTTAACATCAAAGGCGTGGGAATGAGGCAAAAGCGGCAACAGAAATTATAACAATGATGCATGTGTGCGACTGTTTGGGATCCGCATTCAGGAAGGATCTTCAGACAAATCCTCGCCAGCCTGATTTATGAGCCAGCAAAAGGGTAGCGCACACACACACACACACACAACCAAAAACACACACGGACACACACATTAAATAAATGCCGCCAATGGAACGGAAATTTGTCGCCACAGCAAATTGAAAACAAGAGCGAGAGCATTCCGATCAAAAAAAAAAGAAGAAGAAGAAGAATAATGACAAACGCTGACTTGACTTTGAAAGCCAAACTGGGAAAAATTCTAACAAACAAAAAAACAGCAAAAACAATGAAAAGTAAAAAGAGCACAAAAATCGAACTGAGGCTTGAGGCTGGGCCTGGGGTTCTTGTTTTTTTGGTTTTGGTTTTGGAGCTTTGGGGCTGATTGCCAGGCAGCGATGACAATGACAAGCGGCGTCCAAGCGACGAGGCGCATTTGGGTCAATGACGATGAAATCGAAGCGACGACGATGACGATGACGACGCCGACGCCGACGACAACGATGCCAATGATTTAGAACCTAACGTCGAAGATCGGCAACAGACACAAACAACAACAAGAACAAAAGCAACAACAGCTTAAAATGGAATTGGCGGTCAATCAAGCAGAAAATGTTGTGTGTTGAGAAGCATCATTTTAGCATGTGGCGACAGCGGCTTATATACAACGATATATATACCATGCTCAAAAAAAAAACAAAAGGAAAAATAAAGAGAACTGAAACAGACTGAAGGGAAGTTGTTGTTGTTGTTGCTGTTGTTGCTGTTGTTGCTGTTTGCGATTTGCTGTGTGTGGCGATGATCATTTTGTTCAATCGATTGTAAACGATGCGTTGCGATTGTTGGCTCTGCTGCGGCTTTGATCAAATGACAAAATTGATCATTTTCTGTTTGAATGGATTTCGGAGCAGTCTAAAATAAGCGCCCCCCTTTGAGCTGCACCACCTCTCTGTGCCCTTGCAGTGACTCGTCACACAACAATTGATTTATGTTGGCTGTTGTCTCTGCTGTGTGGGGTCTCTGGCTGTAGCATGTGCAACAGCAATAGCAACAGCAACAGCAACAATAACAATAACAACGTTGTGTGTGTGTGTGTGTTACCTTTAAAATATCCGAGCTTTGTGTTGAGTCAAAAGGTGCTATAAATCAAGCCAAATGTGAGCGCACCTCTTTATTTTTATTTTAAGTTTTAGTTTTTTGTTTGCTTGCTTACTTTTGAGTGATCGTTTTGACCATTTTCCGAGCTGGCTGTGGCAAATTAACAACAACGCGAAAATCACTTTCGCGTCATAACAATTAATAGCCAGCAAGGATCACAGTTGATCCGCCAAAACAGTACATAAGGTCCCAACATCCATCCGTCCATCCGACCGTCTGTCTGCCTGTCTGTCTTTGTGTCTGTGGCTAGTCTCTGTGAGTTTGAGTTACAAGTTCGATTTCACATTCCCGTAGGGGTGAAATCTTTTTGCGTTTTTCGGATTTTTTTCTTTCTGAATTTTCCGTCGCGTTTCATTTCGTTTGCCAGACGAAAACGCTGTGGGTAATAACCAAAAATTAACAAAAATTGCTAAAGTTTGACTTGCATGATTTATCTATAATTTTGCATCGCTAGTCGCCACTCGGCGCATTGCGATTTTGGGGGCAGTCGCAAGCAGTAACCAAAAGCAGCCACACTCGCCATCTGATAGGCCCACAGTCAAACATACACACAGAAATACACACACAGGAACGGAGGGGAGACCCCAACAACAATCTGACAGCCTGGGCCATTTTTAATGCGATTTTCGGTCTAAGCGTTTTTGAATTTTCAGTTTGAGCTTTGCGTTTCCTTCTTTTTGTTGTGTTTTTGTTTGCAGCTTAACACTTGCGGGTGTTGTTGTCTACATAATTTCACTGTAGTTGCAGTTTGGGGCACCGGCCCCCAAACATGTAATCGTCGTAATAATAAAAATTTGCAAATGATTTCGTTACTCAATCTTCAATCTCTTTGGCTTTGGCTATCGTTACAGTCCTGGTTATGGCATGCCGGCTGGCCCCTGGCCACATCCAATGGAGCGCTGGTCCTACAGTTGAGCGACTCTGAGATCGCGCACGCACTCCAACCAGCCGAACTATATCTGTGTGTCAAATTGGGTAAGTGGGTCATTAGTTATACCATTTACATCTCAGAATTTATTTAAGTTACCAGTGGACTTGCAAGTAAAATAGGCAATAAAAGGGTTGGAAATTGCTCAAAGTATGAAAAACTGAAATTTGAATAAAATTTTCTATATTTTCGTATAAGATTTAATGGTTGATCTTATGCTGAAGCTGTCTTGCTTCTATATATGAATGTTAGCATCTCTTGCGAGCCAAGCCTAGCAATCATGGCACTATATTCTCTAAGATAAATCTTCTAGCTTGGCTTATTAATCATGTTACATGATATTTAATTCATGTATGCTTATATCCGATACACCTTATCTAGCAACACTTCAGCTCTTAACGTCTAATCTAATCTGATTGCTGTTCACATATGATTTCAGAATCTGACGCAGAAGCCACACCGCAGCTTTATGTCGTTTGGCGCTCGTCACAACAACAGCAGCAGCAGCAGCAGCAGGAGAAGCAGCACGAGGGGAGCGTACAGAGTCAGAGTCAGAGTCACTGCATCTATATCGATTACAATAAGATCGAGCAACAGCCGCTGAGCGTGCTCCAGCTAGAGATGTCTATGGCAGCAATGGCAGCAACGGGACAGAGTCAGAGTCAGGGGCAGGGGCAGGGGCAAGCTAACGATGCCATTGAGTTGCCGCAGCTGCTCCAAAATCTGCTGGTCAGCGTTGAGCGGAGTATTGAGCGCGTGTCGCTAAACGAGCTGCAAATGCCGCTAGCTCTCGCCGAGGATCAGCTCGATGAAGCCAACAACAACAGCAACAACAACAGCAACAGCAATGGCAACAGCAACACTAGTAATAATAACAACAGCAACAACATTGGGTCGCCAAAGTGCGCGTTGCGGCGCAGCGATTTAATTACCAAAAACAAACTGTTCAACAACCGTTACATGCTGCGGCGCCTGACCAATCGACAGGATAGCATGAACTCCACCTCGTCGGGCAACAGCAATGCCAGCGAGCGCAGCAACTCCAGCAACTCAAGCGGCAGCAGCAGCGCTGGCGAGGAGCTGCAAGCACACTTGAATATTAGCAACAATAACAACACCAACAACAGCAACAACAACACCAACAACAGCAACAATATTAATAACAACAACAATAACAGCAGCAATGAGCTTGTGGCATCCACATCGCCCGCCTTGCCACTGTTTTGTTTGGGTAACTCATTTCCGCACATTGACAGCGATGAGGAGGCAACTGATGTCGGCGAGAAGCTCAAATTGCCCGGTAAGTGAATATCAGCTATCAGCGTATACGTAATATTTTATATACATATAATTTGCATTACGCATGCGCCGCAGCAACCAGTTGCCCCAAATACACTCGCAACCAAATGCCTTATCGCAATTGCTGGGCGTTATTTGGCTTATTTGTTTAGCCAATGGAACAGCATCGGCAGCAGCAAAAACGTTTACCGACCCCTGCAATTGTGGCATGCAAATCTTTGCAGTGCACCGCCCCATCGTGCCCCACCTTACGATACTCAAATATTCAATTAAACGCCCCGCAGCCAAAGTTGAGCTCATTTTCGATTTCAACGGCGCTTTGAAGTCGAGTTGCTGTCTGCTTAAAGCCCCGACTTGATATCGCTGTAAATTTCGCGCTAATTTGATATATTTTCTGCGCATAAATTTGCCAAACATTTAATTCAATTAATGCGCACCGAGATCAAGCGATTCATGTTAAATGATGCTTAGAATTCTAGTGAAAGTGTGTGCTTAATTCAAACATCGAACAATGCAACGTTGATTACTTAAATTTGAATCATTTGTTGTAGTAGTTGCTGTACGATAAGTGCTATTAATTTTGTAACTTTCGCTTGATTTTGCACATGTATTTAAGCCAGCACTCAGCTTGATGTAGAAATTTCTAAAGACTGATTAAAACGATTCAGAAAGCGCTGTTCAAATGCTCCCTTGATGATTTGTTCGTTCGGTTGCCTTATGAGCTGTGAGATTTCGGTTTCTTTTTTTATTTTAGTTGAGCAAACTTCAATTAAAGCACAATTCAGAACCATTGGACTTGCTTTATTCGTCACTTTCTATGCTTGCTGATCTTAATTCATGAATAAACGATATCTGCTTTTCCCTCAATCTTAATGTATTGTTGCTAACACTAGGTAAACAAATGTTTAAAATCTCTTTCACACTATCAGTTTTAAGTCAAAAAGCATTTTTTGTTTTATTTTGGATTCTTGACCGAATTTGTTATGTGCTTTCGCACCGAGTGGGAGTGCAGTCGCCAACAGCTCACAGCGACCTGCCTAATGCTCAATGGCGTATTGATGGTAAGACTTTTGGACAGGATATCGTCCTGGACATAACTCTTTAACCGCTGTTTCCGTCACAGTATAGTATCTGTATGTCGGTGCTCTATTTCAATATTTGTATGTACTGTGGCATCTGGGCACAGATCATCAATTTGGTACACTCTACATTACAATATCCTGGGTGGAGGCAATATGCCTGTTTGTGCTGTTAGTGGACTTGATTTGCATTGGCTTCAAATGGCGTAATGTTCTGCTGGGTGTAAGTGTTGGATGTCATTGAACCGATATCCCTTACTCAATTGAGTCAATTTGCTTCACAGTTGATGGTGGTGGTTTTCATGATTGGATTATTTCTAATGGTCGCTGGCAGCATTTCAATTGCGAAATACACCGATGTTTACATGGTTGTGCGTAGCTTCTACAGCGATAGTTTGTGGTCCTATGAGACATCATTCGAATGCTGTGGCATAAATGGGCCTTCGGACTACGGCAACCCAACTGTATTGGACGATATTCCACTCACCTGCTTTGAAGGTCGCGTCTCAAAACCTGAGCTACTCTATAATCGAGGATGCATCTATGCAACGGATGACAACTGGTTCTGGTTTGTCTTTGAGAATTGCTATTGGTTCGCCTTTATTCTGTGCGGTGTTAACCTCGTCACTCACTGGAAACTCTGGCAGCGCATTCAATATTAATCTATTTAAATGATTACTTGACCATAACAACCATACAACAGAATTGGTTCAATAGTTGTACTTTGGAGCAGCCCTAAATTACATATTTAGTTACAATAAGTCTTTGTCCAGCTAACCGCATATTGAATTGCCGGCTCAATTGCAGCACTGTGAATGCTCGAATTATTTAGAATGCGTTGACGACGCCCACGGCTCGACCACAAAAGCCAACAAAAACCCATTAGCCATTAACAACGGCGGCCCACAGCATCCGCCAGGCGTTGGATAACCACAAAATATCGCTGTCTCCACCACAACAACGGCAACAACAAAAGCAGCTGCAGCAGCAGCAACAACGGTGCAAATGCCTTTTAATTTGTCAAAGCCTAAAATATGAAAATTAAATGAGAAACCAAAGCAACGCAGCGCACAGTGGTGCAGTGGTGCAACGTGTGTGCAAGTTATGGCAGAGAACATTGCCAGATATGTTTTTAGATAAATAATGAAACACAAGAAATTGATTTGGAGCATTTTGAGAAGACCGATAACAGACTACAGATCAAGTAGATCTTTTATATATACTTGTATATTGTATAAAGTTTTCATTATTCACAATGGTCTCAAGAAGACCAATAATACTAATAAGATCTCAAAGTAGATGCGTGGTTTCTTTTGAGTTCCTCTACTGGAGAGAATCTACGATTCTTTACAATTGTCAGTCAACTATTGCCGCATTCCATTGCAACGATTTATGGGCTTGTGATAACTTTAGGGTTTTTTTATTTGGCCCGCCCCAAAATGGATCATAGATGGTTATCTAGTGCCAGTGTGCGCTGGAATGCGATCGACACAAAAGTTGCATTTTGGGTGTGTGGGTGCAATTTGCAAGCGTGCATAAATCAGCTGACAAGTGCGGGGGCATTTGTAGTTTGGGTATTGAATTACATACTTATGTATGCAACACCGGCAACACCGGCCACCAACCATTGAGCACCTGGCATTTGTATGCCGTGCAACAACAACAGGTGGTTGTCCAGCTGGTGGTGGTGGTGGTGTTAGTGATGGTGGTGCAGTTGTTAGTTCTGCAGACGCTGCAATGTGTCGCATTTATTACAGAAAATTGTCGCACGCGAAAGTGCCGACTTCAAATTTATGGGCCAACTGGTTTTTGACCGGCCACGCCCCCTCCATCGCCTCGATATGAGTGGGCTACTGTGGCTGTCGCCGAGTTAATCAAATGGCGTTATTATGCAAAATGCGTCGCATATCCTGAACCAGTTTTCAAGGTTTCATCGCAAGCGTTTAAAATGCAATTAACCTATATCTAGCAAGCTCGAAAAACAAAATCTCGAATATAAATAAATAATAAAAATATGAATTTGTCAATATTTCAGTGACCGGTGAGTCGCAGCCGCCGGAGTTGGTGACGTTGACGTCGACGTCGACGCCAGCAGAGACGGAGAGGGAGATGGAGACGGAGACGGAGCTGCTGCCGCCCAACTCGATCAGTGAATTGCCCGAGAAACTATTAAACAGCGGCGTCTATTTGCCAGGTAGAGAGAAAGATATACAGACCTCTATTCACTATATCCAGACTTTCCATTTTCGCCTGGGCTGTACATAATTCTAGACTTTCACTAACAACCAACCGAAGACTAACTGACTAACTAACTAACTAGTCTAACCGAAAAAATTTCCTTATAAATATAAATTGGAAAATTTGAATCACCTGGCAACGCCCCGTTAGGCAATTTGCCTGCAAGCCAAAATGCGATGCGATTTGGAGAAGAGAAATGCACTTTTCAATTCCGTACTCCAAAGCGATTCAATTCAATTAATTCACACACTTTTTCGCACATTATCGGTGTGACGACCACCCAGGGAGTCAGCCAGCCATCAATTGAGACAGAGTTCGATTTCCACCATATACCATAACCATATACCATAACCATATACCAGATACCATTTGTATTTCCATTTATTTGCAGGCACACGCACCCTCCATGGCGACCCACTTGTGAATGTGGATGCCGAGGCTGTGGCAAGCGCGGGCCTCAATTGCTATGAGCTGGCCACACTGTTGCTCTACTACAGCACCATACCGGAGCGCAGGTGAGCGAAGTGAAGTTGCAAGGTGGGGGCGACACTGGGGGTATTGCCTCAATCAGAATCAGCCAGTTTAATGTCAAATGTAAATGAAAATCCAAATAAAAAGAAAATAAAAATAAAAACGCATGGGAATGAGCACAGTAAGTGGCGAACAGCGAGTCCAGGCATTTCAATTTGGCCATCGGTGGGGCATAAAAAAATACAACGGCAACAGCAGCTAGAAAAAACGCTGGGTTCGTAGAGAGACTCACAAGCAGCCCATCCATATTTACGAGCAGATATGCAAATGTTCAGTTAATGCCTGACCAAGAGCCCCAAGAACCCCAACTGGCGCTGGGAAAAACGATGACGACGACGCCGACGACGACGACGGCGCTGCACTTAAGCCTTTAAGATGCCTAAGGGGGAAATTCTCTGTGCCAACTAGAACGCTCTCTCCGTGTCTCTCTCTCTCTCTGCCCTTGTCTCTGTCTCTTTTTCACATGCCGTCTGAATGTCTGGCAATCAGGCAGTCGAACTCATTGCCGCTAAAGAATATGCATGCCAGTCAATTTGCCACTTTGGCTGAAAGGAAACATGCAACAAGAACAACAGCAATAGCAACAGCAACAGCAACACCAACAACAATAACATCGAACAGCACTTGCATTCAATGCTGAGAACTTAACCATAGAAAATAGAACAAAAGCCCCAGCAAAAAGTCGATAGCACTGCTCAGCAAATCAAAAACTAAAAAGACTCTAATGAATTGAAGATATATGGATAATAATACTTGGATTCATATAACATAATAAGACAGATTAAGTTGTAGTAGTAATAAAATTATCTCCAGTTAAATTTCAGAAAAGTATAAAACTTATTCTCTCGATTTTATTCACATACGAAATTTATCTAGACTTACATAATACGTTCTTCATTTCTAATACTCTCTTGTTTAGAATAATTATTGTATCAAAAAACATAATAATTTGACAAGCATTTTAACTGTCAGCTATTAATTTATAATGTCTTACGAACATTACCAAGTATCCCATTTGATAAATGCAAAGATTAAACGCTCATTCAGTGAGTGAGACAACTCTTTGTCAATTTTGTAATAAACTGGCATTTGTATGTGTTGTGACCTACTTATCAATTTAGTATATTGACTGTTAATACGCAACTTTGTGGCACAGTGTAGCTTTGAGCTCTAGTCAATCTGTGGTAGGCAGGCAGTCGGCGAAGAGTTGCGGGCTCAACTAAAGCAGAACAGACACGTCGCTTGAGGGACTCGGCTTTGGTTTCGGCTTCCCTTTGTAATGAAACGTAAGAGCGAGACAAGAAAGGGGTAGCAAGCCAAAGACTGAAAGAGAGAGAGAGAGAGAGACAGAGAGAAATAGAGCTAGCTGCTGCAGGCAGGCATATGAATGATCTTTCAGACAGATTCGTGACACTTTAAATTTATGATGTGAACTTTTGTGGCCCAGCGTTGAATGCTGCTTCGCTAGCTGGTTGTTCAGCTCCTCCACACGATTCCTGGAAATATACAATATAAAGAATAATCTGTGAAATCTAAATCGACATACGAGAGTAGAGAGAGAGACAGAATGAACTCACTCACACACAAACACACCGACACACACAGATACAGACTCGTCGGCCACTTACGAATTGGCATTCCCATTCCCGTATTCGAGTCTCCCCCATTCCTGATTACGACTCTAATTCTGATTCAAAATCCCGTTTCAGTTGTGAGTTTCCAGCTGCATGTTAATTGCTTCAATGCCAATTGCTAAAATGCGGCCAGATCGTGTAGAAAACTTTGACAAACATTTGCTTAGATTGCTGTTGCTGTTGTTGTGGTCGTAACTGCACAAGCAATTTGAAGACAGACTCTAAAGCACCAAAAAACTGGCACAACTCGTCATCAAACGTGCGCGTCTGACGCATTGACGCATTGACGCGATGACGACGCTGACACTAAACACTTGAAGTTTGGTCTTGGACAGCCACAGCCACAGCCACTCAGACTCAGACCCAGTCTCAGTCGCAGTCTCAGTATTTTTCTTCCCCCTTCAGCCATTGACATTATTTGTCGACATGTGTAAGGTATTTATTAGCTGGCTGTCCAAATCCAAATGCCAGTCGACACTGCACGCAAATATTAAATATTTGTGCTGTGTAAAGTTTTCACCAAAGAAACCCCACTCGACACTAGACTACAGACTGCAAACTGGGCGCAGTGTCAACACTGTCAAACTTCGAGTTGTTGTTGTTGTTGTCGTTGTTGTTATCTTCACTTACTTGTCGCTTATCCAAAACTTACATCATCTAAGTGCCTATTTGACCCCACCATAGCACAATGATCCATCTCTCTATGAGGATGGATGTTCGTACACGAGTATGTACGTGTGACAGCTCGCAATTAAGTTTGTTTTTATGGAGCTGTTTTGTTGCACTGCACCACTTCTGGGAATCGTTAAATGCCGCCTGGTTGCGAGTGGTACAAAGGTATTAATATGCATGCCCGCGCATAATACAAATATAAAGAAAGCTCGGGTTACACACGAACGACCTGAACTAGGACTGCACTCATATTTCATTACACTCACCTCGCCTGGGGTACTCCAGTTCGCTTATCACATTTGTATCCTTGAGTTACATTTTACAGAACAGGCTTAATACAGATGACAGTTTGAATTTCACTCAAACAAAAAAAAGAAAATGTTTTAGCTGCGAGGCAAAAATATACAAAATATTCCATAGATTAATCAAATGTAGCTTTTAGAGATTTAAGTGAAAGATGTTCGTAGGTAGTTACAACTCTAGGCATTCATTTATCAATGATAGCATTTGATAAATTACTCAAACACCGTTAACAAGATATGTTTATTTTATCGTTGTGATAAAAGTTGCTGCTATTTATTATATAGAAAAACAGAAATGCGCGTTTTAGTCTTAACCAGGCAAGCAATTAAGTTAATAAATGACTTGGAAGAGCATTTCAGGTTCGTTGCAAGCTAAAGCTTTGTTCATGTGTAGGCTGCATTAAAATTGAAATGCCAAATGCTTTTGATGGCCGTGCTGTGCGGCATCATTAAGCTTGAGAGCTGCCAGCGCTGATGATGAAGCTAAAGACTTGCAGCAGCCCGCAGCTTTGCTTTGCCAACTTATAACTCACACTGTGACCTGCCGCATGCCGCATGCCTCACGCCGCCTGCCGCATGCCGCATTGCGTGCAAATATCAACTGCGAAATGCGCATTGCGAACTCCGAACGGGGGTGGATCACTGTGAGAATAACACATAACTTGGCTAACTTGGCTAACTGGCTGACCAGGCCAGCACAGGCATGCATTTACAGTTAGCCAAAGAGAAAAGCAGTTGGCAAAGGAGGGGATGGGGCGGGGTAACAAAGTGCAGCTGGCTGCTGAGAGTTTGGCCTAAAGTGTTAAGAAGCTGGCTGTTGGGCAGTTTATTAATGCGCCAGCTGCCATTAGTGGCAATTTTCCATTTTTATTTACGCTGATTAAAAGTGGCTACCAACTTGTCAAATTTAGTATTTACTAGCCAATGCTTGATATACTCAAAGGTACTGCAAACAGAAGAAGGCAGGAGACCACTCTGCCACTCTGCCATCTAGTTGTGGGCTGCTGCTGTTTGGCCAAGTGGCAGAGGCCGCTTATTGCCAATTAAGCTGAACTTGTTTTGGGCGTTGCCAAGTTGATTCTGCTCAGCAGCAGCACCGGCAGCAACAGCAGCAACGGCAGCAGCAGCAGGCGCAGCAGCAACAGTTGCAACCTGCCACATTCACAATTTACACCACACACATTTGAAGTTGTTTATGAGCCAGAGACTGACCGTGCACTTCTTAGTGGGCACCGCAACTGAGACTCATTGCCTTTTTAACTTATGTATTTGCAGCACTGCCGGCCATAAAAGTACACAGCAACAAAAGCAGCAGCAACAACATCAAGAGCAGCAACACCAGCAGCAACAGCAGCAGCCGCAGCAGAAACCCGCCCAGCAAACATTTACCATTTTAATTGCCATTGAGAAGTCGCAACATTTATGCGTAATCGACTTAATTTGCCAAAGCCTCAAATTGTTAAGCAAGCAAATTGGCAATTGTGAAATTTTGGCAGTTTGTCTCGATGCGAATTTGCTGCAATTGTGTAACCAACAGCAGCAGCAGCAGCAACAGCAGCAGCAACAACAACAGCGACAGAACTCCAACAGCAGCAATAGCTGTGATCAAGCGGTAAGTTCAGGCTTTGACCTTTGCGATTGCACCACAAAATGAAATCATTAGGAGGGCTCAGCCAGCCGGCGATATCTGTTTTGAGGTGACGCCCCATTTGGCAGGCAGGCAGCGGGGCAGCAGCAGACACCCAATTAAATCGCTTTACATGGAACCACAGATTCTGGCCACTAATGACGGCTTTTTCTGTTTTTTTTCTTCTCTTTTATTTTTTGACCCACACACACACACATACAGGAGCAGCAGCAGCAGCAGCAGCAGTCGCAGTCGCAGTTGCCTGCATCGCATTTGGTTAAATTCATTAGCGTGGACCAAGTCACGACAAGTGTTGCGCCATCGCATTTGCCGAGCGGTGCGCTCCGGGGCCAGCATCATCACGACGCGCGCAAGTGGCGCGAGTTCTTTGCCCAGCTGGAGGCGTTCCAGCGTCAGTGTGCCGCTGCTGGCGGTCGTCTCGTCGGCGCACTGAGCGACATACGCGCCGCCGATCTGCTGGGGCTGCCAACTCGTCGACAGCTCTACGGTCAGCATCGTGCCCTCAGCCGTGCCCTCATGGACTCACAGCTGCACAATCTGCGCAAGCATGGCGCCACACAGCTGCTCCGCTTGCAGGCAGCGGCCACTGCCATAAATGAGCCACCAGCACCACCCACAACCACAACACCCATTGCCACAGCTATTATTGCTGGCGATGCAACCATCACTCATCATTCGGATGCGACTCATAAGCTGCGCAAGGTGACGCTCCTCTACAGCGAAGTGGATCGTGCCGCCCAGCGTCTGGAGCAGCTCACGGAGCAGCGACGCGAGCGACTGCGCCAACTGACGCGTCAGCGTGCCCTCGAGGAGGAGATCAACGAGGTGAGTTCTCCATTCAATGACACTTTTGGTAATTGTTTGCTATCTAAAATAATATTGCAATTCAATCGAGAAACATTTCATATTGAACATCCTTCCAAAATATCTACGAGTGGTCAACATTTTCCCGCTGCCAATTGACTTTCTCAAATTTAGGCCACTTTTATAACTCAAAGCCAAAACTCTCTCTCGAAACATAAATGTATTGCAATTAGTTTCATTGAAACCTGAAACTTTATTGGATGTGCACATATAAAGCTTAAAGTTGGGGTAGTTTGCAGTATGATAACAAAAGTTTACTGAGGAGATAGGGAAACAGTTGAGTGTTTGGGGCTGTCTACAGGAAATGCGCCATCCACATTCGAAATGCCAAATGTATCTGGCAGATACGACTGCAGCCACAGCTGACATTGTTAATTGAATATGCATTGCGTTTAATGCTTGGATTTATTAATTTATTACGCGCATCCGCTTAATGTGCACAACGAGTTCGCCCAGTGGCCGGCAGTAGCCAGGCGTTGGCAGTAGCCATTTGCGAGTCGGTCATGCAAATGGAGCCGTTAGATAAGCCTGCCAAGATTCCGAGAGTTTGGCATTAGCGCATCAGCAGTTGCAACTCGTTGTTGTTGTTGTTGCTGCTGCTGTTGCACTTTCAATTCAATTCCATTTCCTGGCATTTTAATTGACTTGTTAATGGATAGCACGCAAAAGTCTCGATCCCGCCTCAGCACAGCCCAACACGCTGCCACTTCCAAGGGTCGCCAGGCAGATGAATGACTATTCATGATCGTCGTGTACCTTTAACCCAGCTTCAAGACGCAGACCTTCTCCCAGCTGCCGTGTGCATAATTGAGCACGCACGCACCCACAACTTGGCTGAGACTCTGGCAACGACTGTGGACTGTGGTGGTGAATCGGTGGCTCTGGGCGGTAGCTGGGAGCTCAGCTCATTCGCGTAATCTTCCATGGGTAATCTTGGCTGCAGCGGCGCTTAATCAGCGCCAGTGACAGTTGCAGCAACGCCCAACGCTCCCAAAGAGTCTTCGTAGCATCCGCTAATGCAATTTCGCTGATTAATCACAATAATTTGTTGTGGGATTAGTTAGCGCAGTCATAAAGGAAGCCAAATATAGCAATGGCTCTGACTACAGCTTCAGCTTCAACATCAGCTTCAGCCTCCTTGGATGCGTTTACATATTCGTCATACTTTCGCGCTACTATTAAGTCTTGCCATTATTATTATGATTGTTGCATGTGTGTACATTCCGGCGTTGGTGTTTGTTGTTGTTGTTGTTGTTAGGGGCCAACAAAGTATGTCAAATTGGAAACACACGACACGCAGATACGGAGATACTCGTACTGGTACTCGTACTCGTACTCGTACTCGTACTGGTAGTTGTATCTGATAGATAAACGGCTCCTGCATCTTCAATTTCATTTAATAATTTAAGGAAATTGGCATTTAAAAATTTGCAGCGCCTTGTTAACGTTTCCATTTTATTGGCCGTTTTGCTGTTCGGGTTTCAAGCTGTCTTCTTTTCGGACGTTTTTCACACGCTTCTCCACCTTTTGAGAAATGTTCGGCGATTTATCAAAACTTTGGCATTGGTCAAAAATTGAATTTTAATTGCCGACGAAAAGTTAATGAGAAAAGTGAAAGCAAGGTTAAAGAAATTAAATACGTTTCTTGTGCGATTTTCAATCGATTTTTTATTTTGCAATACTTACTGACTGACTGACAAAGTGACTGACTGACTGACTGGCTGACTGGCTGGCTGGCTGGTTGGCAGCTTGAACTGTCCATTGATTGCTTCATAGATGATGATGATGGCTTCACTAACAGCTCGTAGCCCGCAGCTTGTTCATTTCATTAGTTTTCATTCAAAAGTAGTTCAGCGATAAGACTGACAAGGCTGTCTATCGATCTGACTAACTGACTGACTGTCTGCCTCTCTCTCTCTCTCTCTCTCTTTCTCTCTGTCATATCACGATCGCCGCAAATATTATACTTAAACTTACTATAAACATTTAACACCAACACGCTTTCAATTAAAAGCCGTTGACAGCTACCAATTTTTGTGGAACACTGTTGTCCGCTGAATGCTCTAACTTTTGTCTAGATCATTGTTAATTTCTCATAACAAATCGCCAGTCAGTTAGTTAAACTCTAGCCGTGGGAAAAGGCAGTAACTCAAGCACATTTCTTAGTTTCCGTAGAAAGTTGAATCTGTTTAAGGTCTTATCAGCAATTTCAAATGTTTTAGAAAAACAATTCAGACTTTAAATTAGTTGTTGAACTTCGGACTGATCCATGAAATGACAACTCTTAAGGAACTTTTCTAAATATAATAGATGATTATTTTAAATATATTCTGATATATAAATAATAATTTTTTGCTTACAATTTCTGACACAACTTTGACAAAGGTGACAGGGTTAAGAGCTAATGTTATTCATCAATGTTGACAGGTTTTGGTTATTTATGGATCAATATAAATGCAAACGATGCTATTCTAGCTAATGTCGAATACTTTTTAATTTGTTCTCCGTGAATTTATTGCAGTGTAGTGTATTAGATCTTCGTTGGCCTGGTTTTGTCTAATGAAATCAGTATATTTATGTAGTTAACTAACGTGCCGCAACTAAACTAAGCTTTAACGGCAGAAATCAATGCCAAATGCGAATGCGAATGCGAATGCAACTCTGCCACCTAACAAATGTCGCTGTCGTCCATTAGGCGCGCATTCAAACAAGGTGCGAAAAAAGATGCCGCCGTCGCCATTTTGTTGGTCGACGACAACAACGACGAAGACGAAGACGACGACGACGACGACAGCAACAACGACAACGACAACGACAACTAAGACGACAACAACGGCGACAACGACAACGACGACATTATGATGCGATATGCGATATTATATCTAAATTGTTGATCGGCTGCATTACTTGCGCGGGTTGGGTTGAGGGGAGGTTTATAGAGTTTAGCTCCAGTTATGGCCAAAAGTGTTGACTGGGTGTGTAGTCTTGGGTGTTTCTGCTGCTGCTGTTGGTTGGTTGGTTGGTTGGTTGGTTAGCTGGTGAAAGAGTTGACGCGTCTTGGCCGATTGCTGCATGGGAGATAAAGATAAAATACACAAGCGCTTGAAGTGAAATTGGATTTGTTTGGGGCGCTTTCTTTGAGCATCGAACGTTTTTCAAATTAATTTGCGCACTGTCGGCGGCTTTGTGCAATGAAAACTATGTTTAATTGTTTCGCGCCTTGAATTGCAGTTAGCAGCCAACAGCGAACAGCCAACAGCAAAAGCAAAAACAACAGCAGCAACAGTTGCTGATGGCTGCTGACCACTGGTGACCACAGCGACATGTTTGTTGCGGAAGCAACGCCTGGCTTATTTATGGCCTTTGACATTCGAACCCGGGGTCCTCGAGGCAGCCAGGAATGCGGTGGCTGCTGCTTGCATAACTGCAGCTGGCCGGCACCTTGAGAACGGGCTGCATAGAATTCGGTCAGCAGCCAAAACTGGCCATGAAATATGAAGGCTTATTTAGTGTCGACAATTTTAAGGAGGAGAGAAGATCCAAACTGAGACTGAGACGGAGACGGAGACGGAGATGGAGAAGCAGGCGATGACGATGACGACGAAGACGACGAGGGTGGAGACTGAGACGGAGACGGAGACGCAGACGTAGACCCATTCACAGGGGCATTAATAATAGCTGCATGTATTTAAGCTGAAGAGCAGAAACATCTTCGCCTGGGACATGAGATATGCTACACTCAAAAAAACATCACACTGAAAACATCACACTGAAAACAATAATAGTAGATGGAATTCTGGTATTGCCAAATAGATTTATTATTGAAACACTTGCTGTTTATCCATAATTTTCAAATATATTTCTGTTAGCTGTTACCAAGTAGATATAAGGTATTCTTGTTATTTTGAGTGTACATTATTGGCTGAGATACTTGGCTGCAAGTGCAACCGGTTGCATGCATGCAAATTCGCCACGCGAACAAACAATGCCCCAAAGATGCATACAGATAGTTGACTGCCATCACAGCTGCAACTTCTTCATCTTCATCTTCATCTCCATGTTCAACTGCAACTACTGCTGATGATACGTCAGGTGCTGCAAGTGCTGCTGGTGCTGCTGGAGCTGCTGGTGCTGCTGGAGCTGCTGGTGCTGCTGCTTGCTGCGCGTCTGTGTGTCATCAATGTGGACGTTAATCATACGCTTAGCTTGGCAGACATCGCCCAAGGCTGCAAAGTTTCCGCCTAGAATGTCTGCATCTGCGTATTTATTGAATTAACCAAACACAGACAAACACACACACACACACACACACATAGACACAATATCTGGCTGTAAGCCTGGCCAACTGGCTACTCTCTGATAGAGTGACAGCGAACAAAACGTAATTGTTGTCGCCGACATCGTTCGGGGCATGTCAAAATGTAACTGTCGTATTGAGTTTGACATGTTTTTTAACACTAATTTTACACGCATTTTTAGAAATCGTCAACTTCATCAGCAGCTGTCATCATTTTCATTTTTTTTTTCTTTTTGCTTTTTGCTTTTTTCGAGCGTCGTCACGTCCGTCCGTCTGTCTGTCCGTCTGTCTGTGATTCCAGCAGATAAGCTGCAGTCACTGTCACTGCCACAGCCCAGCTGAACAACTTGTTGCACTTGCAGCACCGCCACCAACACCACCAGCAGCACCAGCAGCAAAGCCGCTTTTCGACCAAGCCACAAGTCGGTTGCATGCAATATTGTCACCACATTAACGTCTTGGCCTTTTGTGGCCACAATTTATGACTTTGTGCGTGAGTCCCCACACCACTCCTCTCACCAATTCTCATCTCATCTCTCCTCACAGCACTCCTGCTCTGCCTGCTTATGCTTTGGAAAGTGAAAAATAAGTAAAATTGTAATCGCCTTTTGGCGTCAAATAGTTAAACGAAATTGCTTTATTATACAGACGAGCACAGTAGTAGTGGTAGTAGTAGTAGTAGTAGCTCACCAAAAATGCAGCCAGGCGTGCTTCGCCCAACAAATCCATAATTAAATATTTGGAGGCTGGCCAGGCCAGGCACTAAACTCCAAACCCAAACCCAAACCCAAACTTCACGAGCACACTACTTACTTAACTTATGGAGAAAACCATTTTTTTTTTCTTTATTTTGTTTTAACGATGCTTTGAAAGTCACAGAGTCCACTCAAATTTCTAGTTAACCCATTTCAGATTGGCAATTTTAGTTGAGACATAAAGTTCAAACAAACGAAAATGACCGACTTTAAATAATTTATTTGGAATATCAAAGTTAATAGTCGATAAAACGAAAAACCAACTCTTAATTTGTTTGCCAACTTTTGACTTAAAATTTTAGTTTTGAACATTTGAGAAATGCCTTTCGACAAAAAACAAAACTAAACCAGCTCAAAATAGTTTTTTAAAATATATGTCGAATTAAGATTGGTTAGAGTCGGTGACAGTTTTAGTTTCACCCATTTAACGCTTTTTGCTTGTTGTTTCCATTATAATTTAAGGCTCCGCTGAGTTTCAAGTATTTTCATTTACAATCAGCATTCGTGTTTGATGTCTCATTTTGGCGCACACATGCCACTCAGATATCTCACCCTCCCTGACTGCCAGCCTGCCTGCCTGCCTGCCACTCCGGCACGCCCCTCTCTGTTTTGTCGCACAGTCCACTTAGCCAAGCTGAGCGCAGTTATCGGCGCTATAGTTTCTGAGTAACTGCCATAAATAAGCAGGCAAATTACACGACATGGCCATTAAAATAGTAAAAACTTAAGAGCCACAAGATAAAATGAACATGATATGCTCAAATGAAGAACTAAAGAACACAGCATGAAGACCAAACAAATTAGCCATGCTGAAATGAGACAGCCCGAATCGCAAAAGAGGGGAATGCATATCATTTAAGACGTACTTCAAATAAATTACATAAGACCAGAAATAGAAACAGAACCCAAAGCTGAGGCCAATGCCGATGCCGATGCCGAAGCTAAAGCTAAAATCCAAATAGCTGTCGGAATTTTCTATGATAGCAAAGAACAAACAAGCACAAGAACAACAATGGCGACAACTTTGTAAAGTGTCAAAATAAATTCGATATTGTGGCTTAAAAAATGTTTATGGCTGTGAGATAAATACGCGACATTTGCGTAAATTACAAGACAGCAGCCGCAGCAGCAGCAGCAGCAGCCGCAGCTTCAGCAGCAACAGTTGCCACAGTTGCCACAGACGACTGGAAGCCACGCATGCTCGGTGCAACATAGTTGTTGCTGTGGTTGTTCGTGCTGCGTGTTTATTTGTTGTTGTTGTTGTTGTTGTAGGTGTTGCATGTGTTTTATGGCGCATGCGATCAACTTGTTAAACTGTCACGTTAAATTTGCGTTTTATGTCAGAGACACCAACACCAACAGCACAACCAACAGCAACAGCAAACACCAACGCCTACAAAACAGCTTCTCTATGATGTGCCGATCATCATCAGCATGGTTACTTTATATGTATGAATGCAGTACGTAGGCATTGATATGGAGTGCAGTCAACTCCTCGTTGCTTATCAAAAGACAAAGAATAAAAACAAAAGACAACATCCGCCGCTGACAGCTGCTGCTGCCACTGGCTGGCAAATAATAGTAATATAGTCAAAGCATAGCTTATCATGAAGTTCTTCGCCACATAGATAGATAGAGACAGCTGCAGTTGAAGATTCGGAGCAGTGTATTTCTGTGTGTTCATTGCTAACATATTTGCTTAGCTACGCAAATTGAAACCACAACAATAACAACAATAATAATAAGACAATAACAACATCAGCGTCATCATTACGATCAGCCTGGGCCGGCGACTTGGCGCTTCCAGTTTCCAATGCACAATATATATTTGCACAGACTAATTGTTTTTATTTTGTTGGAATTTCATTCAGTGAAGATGACGACGGGGTCTACAAATCACAATCATCATCATCATCAGTGTGAGCAAGTGAGGGCTAACGATTGACGGCAATTCGCGGCGATTGGCGGTGATTCGCAGCGATTGTTGTTTCCAGTTTTAAAGTTTTTCAGTTGTTCAGTTTTCAGTACCAGTCGCAATTCTGAGCTGCCTGTGGCATGTTTGTTGTTGCTGCTGTCGCGCTTAGCGGGCAACGTTAATTGTTATCACATTTCGAGCACAATACGAGCGATGAGCGGCTCCACCACCTCCACCTCCGCCTCCGCCTCCACCTGCTCGGCCCCCTCCTCTTGCGCCTCCTACTCCTCCTGGTCGGAGCGCGAAACAGCTGCCAGCCATTTGGCAGCCCAAATAGCCAACTATGTGAGTCAATAACAGCAGCAACAGCAGCAGCAGCAGTAGCAGTCTCATCATTAGAGCCACATTTAACGTGCATCCAACTGAAACTTGTTCATAGTTTTGTTTTGGATTTTCGTGTTTTTTTTTTGTGTGTGTATTTTTTTTTGTGTTTTATGATTTCACTCGAGTCACTCATAAGTCATTTTTTGCTGCTGGTTGGATTCTTATCGCTGGGGCATTAAAAATTGCATTGAACCAACAACGATTTACTAAATCAATTAATTTATTTATTATTGACTTTTGCCTCTGTGTGTGGCAATCGCTGTGCGGCAATCTCTCTCTCTCTCTCTGTCTCACTCAATAAAGAGGCCTTCCGCGCCCCTCAATCATGTAAACAATGCAAGCAACTGAGCCGGCTCCATTAAAAACAGGGTGTGTCATCTGTGATGTGTTCGAAGCCGAAGTATGTGCAGAAAGTGTAGATGACTTGTTTGTTTCTCCAATTCTATTGTTTGCTTTTAATACCTTGGACCGGCTTAATGAAAGAAATCAAGTGCAACTAACATATAAATTGGTATTAAACATTTCGAGATGCTTTCGCTGCATATCTTTAAAGCGGTCAGAGTGACTTATAACTATTTTATTTATTTAATGAATATATGTGAGTGCTTGGCAGAGACCCAGAAATGATAAGAAAAAGGCCGCCAGCATCGGCCACAAGAACCATTTGAAAAAATCGACTTAAATTGCATTGCAACTTTTATAACTGACAGTCAGCTATTAAAAGTCTTCCATTCAATTTTTTGCTTTTATGTCTTGAGGCAATATATCTTCAATTCGTGAAATCTTTATTTCAAACTGCTGATAGTTCCTTAATGGCATCAACAGCATTTTCATTTGGAACAGTCACTTAAAATCCGAATGTGTGCCCCATAAAAAAGCTCTTGCCTCAGTGAGTGCAACCCCCTGTATATTAGCTGCACATGCTTATACGTAGTATGTTTATATTTATACGATCATGCCTGCCTGCCATATCTGATGAGCATGAAGAGTCTCGAGTCCGAGTCCGAGGCCGAGTTGGAGTCTCTGTCTCTGCCCGGCTGCTGATTGTGTGGCAACTGTGAAACTGGAACAGTTGACGCTGGCTCAGCAATACCACCCCCGCCTCTCTCTCTCTCTCTCTCTCACTCTGTCTTGCTCAATGGCAGTTTAGATTTTCATTCATTGGGGAGGACGTGAACATGCCCCCAAATGTAGCCGAGAGGCATTATCTCAAAGCCAAAGATCGCCAGTGGCAACCCAAAAACGGAAAGTGAATGCGGAGCGCGGCACACGCGCCGCCAGCCGCCAGCTGGCAGCTTAATGCTGAGCTGAGAGCATCAAGCTGTAAGCAGTAAGCTGTTGGCTGGTAGGCTGGAAGCTGGTTAGTTAGTGCAGCTCAGCGTCTTTGGTGCTCCCTGCCCATAATTCGTCGCATCATCGATTGTATCAATTCAATTGGACGCAGCAGGTGATTAAAAATTGGTTAGACCTACAAAATTATCAATGTGAGATCGTTGATTGGCCCGTGGATGTTGTTTGCTGTTTGCTGTCGCTGTTATTGTTGTCGTTGTTGTCGTTGTTGTCGTTGTTGCTTTCAATACACTTGGGAGATTTGAGCGCTTTAGAAATACCCCATTGAGGAATCATTTGATTTGATTTGTGCTCGATTGGCTTTTAATTTGTAAAGTGGAGCCTAATTAGATCGTCTACCGATCGATTTATATGAGTTTCACTTTTCATCGTTGGCGATCGAACATACAAATGGGAAACCTTGAATAAAGCGTGGGCGCAGTTACAACTAATACTGCTGGTGCATAGTAGTTTGAAGGTTCATCACTGAACTCAATCTGTGCTCTCTTTTCAATATTTGTAGGTCACCTCTTGGCTGGGCAATGATGGAGCTGATAATTTGCAAAAATTCGCTCAGCTACAGTTGGACAGCGAGGCACAGCTGAAGGCACAGGAGCTGGAATTTGAGAAATACTATTTTATTGCCAGGGTAAGTAACATAATTATCTATATAAACTGATATAATATATTCAAATTAATATTAACAGAAACACTTGGCTAAGGGTCGTGACTTGCACTTGGCCGCCAATAAGATATCCGTGCTGAGCGAAAGCGCTCGCAATTTGAAAACCGCACTGGATCTTTTTTCCGATAAACTTGAAAAGACACGGGAGCGTATTGAGGGCGGAGCCCGATTGTTGCATTTGCTGACACAGCATCAGCGCGAAACTGCCGCACTGGAGGAACTGCAGCGTCTGGCCGCAGAGCTGGGCGCCACGGCCTTAATTGATAAACATTTGCCGGCCATGAGGAAGATTAGCCCACAGCCGGCAGCAAGCAGCACGCCAGCGCAGGCAGCAGCGAAACGTGACAGTTATCGTTGCAGCTCCGGCAACGGCAGCTCATTTGATGGGGCTCCCAGTGGCAGCCATTGCAGCTGCTGGCGCGAGAGTCACAATCTGGAGGACATGGACGAACCGGATGAGGAGCACGACAACGATAACGACTGCGATGGCGATGGCGATGCCGATGGTGAGGGCGAGGAGCAGCAATCGAAAATTGCCGACTCCGGTGTCGGAGTCTGTGACAATTGCGAACGCAATCCAAAACTGGTCCGCATCTGCTCCTGCCAGAGCCTCAACGAGAAGAGGTGAGTATTGAATAGAGAATGGGCAGCAACCAAAAGAATGGTCAGTAGCTGAAACTGATCTGTACTCCTTCTCTTAGTCACGACGAGCTACTCGAGGACGAGTGCTTTGAGCGACCCACGAAACGCTACATGGACATGCACTCGCCCATGGAGGCCAATGCTCATCTCCAGTGCCATGACTCCAATATGGAGCTGACCAAGCTGGAGGAGCTCAGCTGTTTGGAACCAAAAATACAAAAGTAAGTCAAAAGTAGAGTCACCAAACTTGGCATGTAGATTGCTGGTGACCTCCTTCATAGGTTAGCCAGTCATTTTTGACAAAGTTATAGTTATATATAAGTTTTCCTTCAAGCGATTTCTGAGTGTATATCATTTTAACATGTAAATCAAGTTAGAATTGCGATTCCAACTTTATCAGATATCAGTCCATGATTAAAACGCCCTGGAAAGTATTGATCTGTCTCTTCAGGCACTTCTGTATGATACACTTCTGTACATATTTCTATATAAATTCCATAATAATTCGCAGAACGCTTCTATTAATCATGCGCGAAATGATTGGTACCGAACGCGACTATGTGCGATCCTTGTACTACGTAATCGAGAACTACATTGATGAGCTGCTGCGCGAGGATATACCGCAGCCGTTGCGCGGCCAGAGGAACGTGATCTTTGGCAATATTGAGAAGATCTTTGAGTTCCACAATTCGCACTTCCTGGGCGAACTGGAGCGCTACGAGCGCAATCCCTTAAAGGTGGGCGCTGCCTTCCTCGAAATGGAGTCCAAGTTCTATTTGTATGCGTTGTACAACAAGAACAAGCCGAAGAGCGACACCCTGCTGAGTGAGTATGGCAGCTCGTTCTTCAAGCCGAAGCAGCTCCAGCTGCAGGACAAAATGGACCTCGCTTCGTACTTGCTGAAGCCGGTGCAGCGAATGGGTAAATATGCCCTGCTCCTGCAGCAGCTGGTCAAGGCGGTGAAGAGTGTAGAGGGTGCTGCGCTCCAGGAGATAGCCGCCGATGTGGAGGAACTGCAGCGGGCCGAGGAGATGGTCAAGTTTCAGCTGCGCCACGGCAACGATCTGCTGGCCATGGATTCGCTGCGCGACTGCGATGTGAATGTAAAGGAGCAAGGAAGACTGCTGCGTCAGAACGAGTTCCTCGTCTGGCAGGGACGCGGCGGCAAGAAAACACTGCGTCAGGTGTTCCTCTTCGAGGAGCTGGTGCTGTTCAGCAAGGCGCGTCGCTTTCCCGATCACAAGGTAAGCCTCACGACACATTTTTTGCCCAAGTCAGCAGCTTATCGCTCTTTTACGTGCAGAATCTGGACATTTACATATACAAGAACAGTATCAAGACCTCGGACATTGGACTGACGGCTCACACGGGTGACTCGACGACCAAGTTTGAGATTTGGTTTAGAAAACGCAAGCCGGACGACACTTGGATGCTGCAGTGCATGTCGGAGGACATTAAGAATGCCTGGACGGAGGAGATATCTAAACTGCTCTGGAAACAGGCGAAGCGCAATCGAGGTAAGTTGTCGCCAATACATCAGTAATAAAAATAAATGAAAATATTCAGAATATCCGATAAAGGTAAAGAAATTTTTGGAGCATATTTTTCTAAACACTTTTCTGTTCTTCTCTTAGAAATTCGCCTGGCGGAGATGTCTTCGATGGGCATTGGCAGCAAGCCCTGCTTGGACATACGTCCGAGCAACAATCAGATCAGCGACCGTTCCATACCGCTAGCCCAGCTAAACAAAAGTGAGTATTCAGAGTTTGACTAGATGCAGTTCTTGATCCGTTGATTGCTTCACAGCACCCAAGCTGCGTCATGCGGAACCTGGCAAGGGCAGCATGCGTCGTCCCAATTCGCTCATCTCGGAGAGTTCGCTGTCCAGCGGCACCAGCACCACCAGCAGTTCCTCCATCAGCGGTGGCTGCGAGACTGGACGCCACAGCTTGAATCTAAGCTTTAGCAAGATGGCTGGTAGCAGCCACAACAATAACAATAACAACAATACTGCCACATTGGAGCTAATCAACGAGACTCAGGCACTGAAGCTGAGCAACAGCAGCGAGCCAGATACGTCCAGGATCCAAAGCACGCCCACGTTCACCAGCAGCTTCTCGAGCCGAAGCAATAAGCGTCAACACAAGCGTTCCACGACACTTGTCAGCCAGCTATCCATGGGTATAGAGCTTGAATTGTGCTACTTCTTCTAGGCACCCACAATTATGTTGCTTTTAGTTGTTTGTTTGTTTTAATGTTTCATGTTTCCCATGTATATAAACATACACCAATACACTCCTATACACTCCTACAGTATTAGTTCAACACACACACACACAATTGTAAATACTCCCTTAGTAATTTGTGTACCTCTCCGTGCTGCATGTTCTTTTGGCTCGATGTTGAATGATATTCCTACAACAACAACTTTGACACTCTCCTTATATATATATACTCTTATGCACTATATAGAGAGCGGCATTCTATCCGACATGTCCATAACGCCGGATCAGGAACATCACGCCGTCCACGCCGCAGCGGAACAATTGTCGGGCAATCGGGCCAGTTGGTCTACATCCGGTACAGCTGCATCCATGGCCAGTTCTAGCACCTCGACGGTAATCCTGCGTCGCTACAAGTCGTACGCCCATGCCGCCGAGTCGGCAGCTCCCGAGAACAGCAATAAGTGAAATTCTCCAAAATTCCACGATGCCCCGAATAATTATTTTGAAAAAATAAAAGTATACATAGCTTTAGCAAAAAAAAAAAAAAAGGAAAAGAAAAGAAAAGAAAAAACGGTTTCACCAGATTCAGATTATCATATTATACATACATACTTATTATTATAAATATTATTTTTGTTATTTATTATTTATTTGATTTTAGTTCGTGTTAATTTGTCATAAATCTCCATCCTATTGTATTATTTGCCCTGGATGCATTTCTTTCAGTTATTCATTTCCTCTGTTTTTAGAAAATTTGAAATTATTGAATTCAATGTGTCAATGTCGAAATATATTTCATAGCTATTAATCAGCCCCCCTTAATCTACTCGAGCAACCCACACTCAAATAATAAAACACACACTCAAAAATCGAGGGGCACAACACACACACACAAACACATAGTGCCAGCCGAAATGAACGTTGCATTGCGTCCAAAATATCAAGATCGAAATTCATAACGTACAGTTAGTTAATATATGTAAATTAAGTGCCTATTTTTAAAGTATCGTAAAGAAAATATACATAAATAATTGCATATCTTTAATATATGAATAATGTATGTATACATTTAAGCAAAGAATTGAATAAATGTTGCTTCGAACTATACAAAAACCCCGTGAATTAATGCAGGAATAAGAAAATACCTTTTTATAATTATGCTCAACTTTTCGACAAGCAGAATCGTAAATCGATTTCGTATTTTCAACAACTGCCTTATAATTCCCAACCGTTTATTTGCCATCAACGTTGTATAAATAGAAGATGAACAAACGAACTTTTTGAAATGAAGAAAATTTTACAACCCGAACCATCATGTGGGCCTTTGCCATTTTTGGTAGAGGGACGTAATTCTGATTTATATTAAGTTTTATATCTAATATTTTTTTTATTACAAATAACATATATTAGTAAACATAAAGTTGCAGTTAGCCGCCGTGCAGTGTAGATATAAAGAGGACGTTGTCATTCGGTTGCAGCTCATATTCCAGCTCTCCCTGCAATTGAGAATTTGCTTAACTAAATGGAACACAAAGATTTGAAGCTGACTCACCAGTAGCTCCCAATCCGTATCGTTGATCAGCACCAGAATGCCGGGTCGTCTGAAACACACAAGAAATTAAATGACAATTGCAAACTACACGTGCTGTGTTGCCAATTGGCGCTTACACAGTGTCTCCCTGTATGAAGAGCTCGGCACGCTCTGTTAAGATGTTCGCATGCATCCATTTAAGCAACTCCGCAATTGTCCCTGCAATTAACTATTATTGCTGACAGAAAATTAAACAAAATGTTGATCGAAGCTCACATTTTTGTGCACCGTTCAGCGAAAGTTGTCGCTTTTTGATATTTCCAAATAGCAACTCTGCCCCAGCTCTGGAAATAAGCTTATTACGATGCAGCGCAATATACATATTAACATTTGTTACCCGAATTCCAGTATAATTTTTAAATCCGGCGTTTCTTTACTGCCCATCTTTCGTCTATTATTGTTTTGGTTGGTTGACATTCACTACAAGCGGCGACACTAAAATTCCGTTAACAGTTTGCACTTTTGCGTACGTTACTCATTTTGCGTTTACATTACTCACTGTTGCGTTTACGTGATTCTTTTGGCGCTTTTGGGCTTTTATCATTAATAAAAAATATGTTTTAGTTTTACTTAATATTAAAAATGATCAAGCAGAATCCAAATATTAAACATAATTTATTATATAAGCAGCTTAACACAAAACAAGTATCGAGTGAGCTCACTTCGATATACTCTGAACCCGGCTACTCAAAGAGATCCCATTGTGTATACTATGATAAAATTATCATTCAAGAATGAATGGTGCCGAAATAGATCCTGAAAGTCGGCTTTAAAAAGGCCTTACACTCGAGTCGGAACACGGCAAATTCGAACACCACAGAACCAGATGTATCTCCTGTTAGCCCCTTAAAGTATGCCGCATCTTTAGCCTAAGTGAAATTTAGCCAATGCAGCAACCCAATTTGAGTCAGAACAGATAAACTTTTGGTGCTCGAAGTGTTTATTTATGTTCCATGTGATAGCCCATACCAAGTAAAATAAAATCATCGACAAATATTATTAATAATTTATTTAGCTTTAATTTCATTAAATAGTTAAGGACATTGACATTTTGTTGGCATTTGTAAAATAATATTGTGTGTGGGTATTTAGTTTGCGCAAAGTGCTTCAGTATATAATACAAAACCATAAAATAAAACTAAACAATTAAATTGCTAGGACGTGTGTGTGTGTGTGTGTGGGTGTGTGGGTTTATATGTGGTTGGCTTTGTTTAATAACATATAATAAGTATATAAAAGAAACATAAAATGAGTTTTAATACAAGTGATTTAACTGAAACCCGCGGTTAGGAAACTTTTCATTCTGTGTGTTTTAAGTTTGTTAGGAGAACTTAAAATAAATAAATAAACATACATACATTATTCAATGTGGCAACAATAGTTACAGTATTTCCATTTGCTACTGTTCATATATATATATATGTGTGTGTGTGTGTGTATGTGTTTTACATTTCCTTTTGTTTTCGCGCTCAAATGCAATTACAAATAATAAATAAGTGTATATTTTATACAATTTGACGGTAAAGCACAAACAAATATCAGATTTGAAGCGAGTTTTCTTTTCATAATTTTCGCTCGCTATGTTTATATAGCTCTATAGTAGTGTTTATAGATCTATAAATTAATAAGTATACAAGCACTTTTACAAAAAATTTGTGGCTTTTTTGATTTTAGGATTTGATTTGATTTTTTTTTTAGCTAATTCTCATATCTAATATATGTGTAAGTGTAAGGCAATATTTTGTTTGTATCTATGTATGCATATCGTTTAATACATATATATATTCCATATATATATATTCCGCTTATTGCTGTTTTGTTCCATTTTTCGTTAAATTTGTTTTGTTTTGTTTATGGCTAATTATCGCTTGCTCCTCTCCGTTAGGATCAGCATCCCTTCATTTGTGTGCTGCTGTTGTTGACTTGATGCTGCCTGCCTTGCCTCGGTCACTGCGATCCTGTCACAGCTTACATCAGCTTCTGCTTGGCACAGTCCGGGCAGAGAATGTCGGGTCCGTCGGTGATGAAACCGCGTCCCACCAAACTGGCCTTGCAGCTGGCGCACACAAAGCAATCATGATGCCAGTGACGATCCTCAAACGAAATGAACCGTGTACCGCCAATGCCTGTGAAGAACAAAAGTTAGTCCAGTTTATTCTTTAAGTTATAGTTCAATTTAGATATATTTACCAGTGATGGGCTTGACGCACGATGTGCAGCGTTTGGCAAACAGTTCGCCAAAGCATTCGGCACAATAGGGCTTCTCGTCGCGACTGGTGAATCGCTGCCCGGCCAGAGTAATGTTGCAGTGGGTGCAAGTGAAGCACTCACGATGCCACGGCTCGTTCTTGTAGGTAACGCCACCAGAGGTGATTACCTGTAATTAACAATTACAGAATTTGTGAGTAATATGCTTTTTGTGAGTGTAGCACTTGCAATACCTTATTGCATTTAATGCAACGCGTTGCGAACTTCTCCTCGTAGCAGCCGGCGCAGTAGATCTCCTGCTCCCGTGGTATAAACGACTTGGTGCCAATGGCCATCTTGCAGACGCAGCAGCAGAAGCAGTTCTCGTGCCACTGCCGGGTTTTGTATTCCATTTTCTTGGTACCTGAAAATACGGAAAGGCGTTCAGACACAAATCAATTTCCGTTTTCGATTGCAACCTTGAACTTTGCCCAGTAAGACAGTCTACTTTGCAAATAGCCCCAAATTCCAGACATATTCAGGCCAAAACCATCACAGAAACTCAATCACAATTTTGAATAATAACCAACCAAAAAGAAAATGTATTGAGACTATTATTATGTGCAGCTGACATGCAACTGACAAAGTGGAACCCAGTTCCCATTCCACACCACCACCCCCACCCCGACCCCCAACTCCCCATTGTAACCCCCAACCAAAAGCTTCGCATTTTCATAACAATTAATGCAAAAATTATTCAAATTTGTCAGTCTGCGAAGAGACAAATGCAAATCCCACAGCACGATATTAGAAGTTCCATTTGCGGCTTTTAGCCAAATAATAGTGTTTGCACAAAAAAAAAACAAAAACAGTTTCTTTTATTTATTGCGTGCTCAAAATCTGTTGCTAAAAATAAGAAAAAGAAGAATGGGAGGGGCAAGTTTGGCAAAAGGGTTTTCAGCGATGGGTTCACTGACTGAGCCAAAGTTGGGTAATTGACTGGAATAATGTCAGGGCAGATTATTCTATTGTTATGCCTTAATTTTGTGTTGTCAACAGCAGTTAAGAAACAAGTTTATATCACGTCAAATTAAAGCCAAAAAAAAAGTTGTAAATAATATATGAAAAAGTTATGAACTAGTATACAATAAAAGTTTAATGTGTAAGCCATTTTGTGTGTACAAATGTTAACAAAGTCTTTAAATCTATATGAGCCACAGTTGATTAGAACTTTTTTAAATATTTCTTTCAGTGTAGCTCTTTTGTTTCCAATTACTCATCACGAGCTCATCAGCAGCGCTAACGAAAGCTGCGATGACGTTATTGAGAGCTCTGATCACAGCCACACCAATCTAATCCATGTGGGTGTCCATTTTTACCAATTTTGGCAACAGGTCGACCATTAAATGGTCAGTAATATTGATAAATTATGATGTATCGCTGGCAATAATTAGCATTATTTATGAACCGCTCAGTGATTACCTGCTTTGGTGGCACGGGGATCACCCAAACGACAATAGTCGCCCAGGGAGCAGTGAAAGCTGCGATTCTCCTCAACGGCGCTGGCATTTGGCAGGAACATGCTCAGCACGGCAATGTCCTCATTATTGTCCTTGGCCTTCTTAATGCGATCGGCGCCAATCGTTTTGGCCTGCAGATGCAAACGTGACTTCATTCGCGAACTCAATACATCCACGTCGGTCATGTTGATTGATGTACAGCTGAGTTAACTATTTAAGCAGTGAGTTTCGATTTATAAACAGCAGCAGCAACAGCAGAAGCAGAAGCAGCAGCAGAAGCAACACTAAAGTGGCAGCCACTGACTGGCAGTAAACTGGGCTAATAAGTCACGATTTGACTAACACTACTATTTACTTGCAGACAGAAGTTTAAGCTTAAGATGCCATCATCAATTGAACACAAGGCAACTGGGTCGGCACCCAGCAGCTCCAATGATCAATGTTGAACTCATTTTGGATTTTGGCTTAGGCGAAACCAGTTGAGATACAATCTGGTGCCTAGCACGACAAAAAAATGCTATAATCTAAGTAGTAAGCACTGATCTCAATGAGTCTGTAAGTAATCTAACGAATTTTGGCGACGTCGGGTCTCCCCTCAAAGCATTTGATGACATCACTTTGCCCCGCCGGCCGAAAATATTTACTAGCTAAATAACAAGTTTCATAATAAGACTTTGGCGAATGTTTATAAATAACACAAACAGAGCGACAAGCCACATAATAATAATGCCTTCATAAATCATTAAATAATTAACTTTTTGTAAAACAAAAGTGGAAACCAATTAAATTGGCTAACAAATTTCATTGCGCACGCGCTTCTAAATTGTGGCAGGAAATTGAAATATTGGTCACAGGAAATTCAGCTAGTATATTTCGTAGTATATATGGGCAAGCAATTAAGTTCAAGAATGTTGGCCCAAAGAATTGGAACTGAGAGTTTCGGATTACTAGACACCAATAACCGTAGCGCATTCATATGGCTTTCTCAGCATTTGCGGTCTGCTTTGGCATAATTATAACTAATTGAACTGGTTTTGGTGTTGTTTTTGTTGTTGTTGTTGTTGTCGCAACATGACAACAGCCAAAGAGATCGCCCACGAATTGCCTTTGACGCCCACAACAAATTACTGAAACGCCGCCGACAGAGCCGCACAGCTGAGGTCAAGTGGAGAGAGATCGGAGGAGGCGACATTGAAAATCGCACAATTCGAACGCCAAAGTCAGCCGGCTGTGGAGTCAAATGCACGCACTGACAGCCAGATGTGATCCGAGTGAATGATTGATGGATTGGCGACTTGAGACAATGCTTATTACGTGGCATTAACTGAAACAACAACCGCAAATAACATCACTCTCTGAAATGGAAAGTGCTCGGCAACATCGGCAACAGAGCGCGTTCTGCATTCTTAATGATCACTCCACATTATTTACAGTGATCAGCAAAAAAAGAAATTAAAAAAATTGTGCTTAGTTTCGAATTTCAATTGAATTACTGCAATTCGTTGACATTTTTATAAAGGGTGTTTTTTTTAACTACTTTTTTTAATGAATATGGCGTGTTTTCTGTGACAACTCTGAATAAATTGAAAAAGTAAAATGTATATTTAAAAAAATGGAACCCATGTCAAAAAAAAAACCCTAGCAAAATATTGGGAAACATTTCCCAGCAACTTAAGCCAACTTTTTGTTAATATCACGATCTGAG